CTTTAGTGACAAACTCCGGAACGGTGATTGCTTATCAGGTAGATATGAATCTAGTCCTGGGAGAACGACTGTTGAGGTACAGTGTTAGGGGACGTAGGAATCTAGCCTGCTTTTCTTTCCTTCTTGCTTTAGAAGGTGGACCTAAGGTAATTGGAAACAATGCGGAGATTCCTGTGGTGGATGAGTTCGCAGATGTGTTTCCTAATGAGTTACCTGGTTTACCACCGGATCGGGAAATTGAATTCTGCATTGATTTGGTTTCGGGAACGACACCTATCTCTATTCCTCCATATCGGATGACACCTGCTAAAATGAGAGAATTAAGAAAGCAGCTCGAGGAGCTAGCAAAAAAGAGGTATATCAGCAACAGTACCTCCCCATTGGGTGCACCGGTATTGTTTGTGAAGATGCACGACGAATCTTTTCGGTTATGTATTGACTATCATCAATTGAATAGGGTAACTATGAAGAATAAATACCTACTGTCGAGGATCGATGAGTTATTCGATCAATTGGGTGGATCACAGTATTACTCTAAGATTGACTTAAGGTCAGGATACCACTAACTTAAGATTAAGGAGGAAGACATTCTGAAAACAGTTTTTAGAACTCGGTATGGACATTTTGAGTTTCTGGTAATGCCTTTCGGGCTGACGAATGCCCCGACTGCGTTTATGGATTTAATGAACTGTGTTTTCCGGCCGTAGTTGGATCGGTTCGTGATCGTCTTCATCGATGACATCTTGGTTTATTCGAAGACTTGGGAAGAACATGAACAACATTTGAGAATTGTTCTTTAGACTCTTTGTGAACACCAATTGTATGCGAAGAAAGAGAAGTGCGACTTCTGGCTGACAGAGGTGAAGTTCCTTGGTCATGTGATATCAGGACAAAGAATTTTTGTAGATCCTTCCAAGATTGAGACTATGCTATAGTGGGAAAGGCCGAAGAATGTGGCAGAGATCCGAAGCTTCCTCGGACTCACCGGATATTATCGACATTTTGTAAAGGACTTCTCGAGCATTGCGGCACCAATGACTCGGTTGACCAGGAAAGAAGTCAAATTCGAATGGAACGCTAAGAGTGAACATGCCTTTCAGGAATTGAAGGCAAGGCTGACAAGTGCACCAGTCCTGATTATTCCCGACAGCGAAGAGGCATATGAGGTATATTCTGACGCCTCGGGGAGTGGACTTGGCTGTGTTTTGATGCAAGGTGGACTCGTTTTAGCCTATGCATCTCGCCAATTGAAGCTACATGAACGGAATTACCCCACTCATGATTTGGAGCTAGCAGCGGTGATATTTGCTCTGAAGATATGGAGATGCTATCTCTATGGAGTAAGGTTTCAGGTCTTTTCTGACCATAAAAGTTTGAAGTACTTGTTTACCCATAAAGATCTGAACCTCAGGCAGAGGAGATGGGTGGAGTACATGGAAGATTATGACTTCACGATGCAGTATCATCCAGGAAAAGCTAATGTGGTAGCTGATGCCCTTAGTAGGAAGACTACATGAACTATGACATCATTAGCTTTGGAAGACAGGAAAACGACTGAAGTTGTGAGTGAGTATCGACTTCAGTACCACGAGGATTATAACCAGGCAATGGTATATAATCTGATTTTTGCACTGGCCCTTGTGCAACAAGTTAAGCAGAATCAATGGCAAGATCCTCATCTCCAAGGAATCTGGATTCGAATCCAAAATGGAGAGCAACTCGAGGATTGGAGAATCTGAGAGGATGGGGCATTGTACTTTCGCAACCGCCTTGTTGTTCCTAAGGTGGATGAGATCAAGAAGACGATTCTGCATAAGGCCCATAAGTCGCGATATGCCATTCATCTGGGAAGTACAAAGACGTACCAGGATCTGAAAAGACAGTTTTGGTGGAGAAGTATGAAGAAAGACGTTCATGAGTACGTCTCAGAATGTGTAACTTGTCTCCGGATTAAGGCTGAGCATCAGAAGCCAGCAGGAGAGTTACAGTCTTTACCTGTTCCGGGATGAAAATGAGAACACATCACGATGGATTTTCTTACCTCTCTTGAATCTCAAGTTTTTAGATTTTAAAACTTATTTTTGGTTCGAAATGAATTTCGATGGATTTTGAGTAGAACTATGGTAGAAATTGGAGATCTTGGGTTCTTTAGACTTGATTTAGTGCCTAGAACCCGGATCTAGTGGTTGTCCCTTGAGATATTATAATTTGGGACTGGATTTACAGGTTTTCAGACTGATTTTGTGAGTTTTCTTGCACTGGTGTTCTTCACCGGTCGACCAAATTGTATTGGCCTAACCGGTCGACCTGTCCGGTCGACCGGATTGCACACCACTGGTCGACCGGTGGTGCTGCACTGCTCTGTCACCAGTCGACCGATGTACACGGGGTTTGACCATGTTTGGCTTGAAAATGCTGTTTTAACCTCTGTTTTCAAGGAGAACCCAAATTAGCTTCATTTGGGGACCTAGAGTAGATGGATTAGCATCTTTAATCCATTTTTTGAGATTGAAAACCCTTAAAATGATGAATTGAAACATGAAATGGTTTGTAAAACCAGTAATTGAATTATAGCACACTAATAGGAAATCAAAGGATGTAATTGAGACTGAATTGCTTTAGGAATGAGAATTAAACCCTAAAGTGTTGTCTTGTATCAGTGCTGGCTGAAGACTCGGATTGAGTGGCTTGAGGAAGCGGAAGCCAGAATAGTGCACCGCCAGCCACAGGTTTGATATATACGAGGTAGGATTTCTGATCCCTTTATTTGTGAGCCTGTTTTCAAAAAGGATTTTGGCCTTACAAATGGTTTAAAGAGAAAGAGCTTGTTTGTAAAAGAAAAGTATTTAAAAACTGATGGCTTGTTATAGTTCATGGTACCCATGGCTTGTTGTAGTACATGGAACCATGGCTTGTTGTAGTTCATGTGACTCATGGCTTGTGTAGTTCATGAGATTATAATGAACGATTTCATAAAGTTTAATGAACGATTTCTTAAGATAAGAGATCTTACAAATCGGTAAACTGGCTGATGGTCAAGATAAGATGTGGAGAGTGCATCCTTGGGGGCAGGACCCGAAACCCCGGGGGTATGGCTTATGCACGTGGTTGTGTAAGTGATTTATCATAGTATAAATTACTTGTTGATGCCTGTAATACAGATATATTTTCAGATATATTTTCTTTGAGAATAAGGATGTGAGGTTCCGGTTGTTGTGTCGGGACTGAATGTCATAATTTATTTACTTATTCATTTATTTATTTATTCACTTATTTATTTATTGAGTTTTATAAATTATATCCTACTGGGCATTTCGCTCACGTTTTATTATTTTATAAATGTAAACCCCTCCCAGGTGATTCTATGAGCGGTGCGGAGTAGCTGGATTATTTGCTACCGTCCGATCAAGTGAGGATTGTGTTCATCCTCTTGGGTATATGTAAGGATTTGTAAAATTCTATAAACTCTGATATTTGAATTCTAGACTGTGGATGATATCTGTAATGTAATGTTATTTATGTGTCATGTATGTACGGTAATGAGATCATGTGGATAGATCCTGTAATTTATTTTTATCAAGTGTGGGGCTCGTTGGGAATTTCTTTTATTATCATGCGTTTAACCCCTAATTGAGCTCCACGTCATCGACTCCTGCACCGGGGCATGACAAAGTGGTATCACGATCCACATCATACACGCTTCCGCATCCGAAATCGTTTCAGAAACCAACTCATTTAAACACAGATTAAAACAAAGGGCAAAGCTCAAGTTACAATGACCGGATCCTGAAGACAAGTCAACTACTATCATGGATGAGACATGGAGCCACACCACAACAAGCAAATTGAAGAAACGCCGGAGAAGAACCAAGCCTCACCGCCGTCCGCCATCTATAAGGGAACATACCAACCCCATAGAACTGCCACCCAATTAGGGCAGAAACCTCTAAAACATAGCGGCACTGGAGCACCCACATGTCCTTAACTTTGCGACGAGAACCACATTACTCTACCTTCTCTGCCATTTCCTATTGCCAAACCAAACACAAACCCCCTCTAAAGGATCACCATGTTGAGGGGACCAAACCATAAGGGGCTTAGAATTGCCAACGCATCTAGAGGTGGCAACCAAATGTATGCCAGAGAAAACTCCCAAACACCCGCTTTTCCTTCCCTATCCACAACCTCGTTGACATCTCATTGGGGGGATCCATGTGTCAGCACCCAAGCACCCTCTCACGAGGCGGGGAGTTCTGAGCCTAGCCTAATGGTGACATCGGACTCCGACCCTGAGACATGGAGGAAGAGTAAAAGATAAAATGAGAGAACCCTAGCAGCCACCCTCTAAAAAAAATATGTTTACTTATTTATTAAGATCCCTAAGAAAGAATTTTTTTCATGGAAAAAAACAAGCATTTGACTTTGGATGGTGATTGCATGGTGAATAGTAATTCAAAACATGAGTCTTGCTTATAAATCAAAGACATAAAGAAGAGATTGTTTTGTTTTTTTAGGAAATTATAGTAAATAATAAATTTTTAAAACTAAATTAATAAATAGCAGATTTTACAACAAATTAAATAAATAGCAGTCTGTGTGGTAAATAAATCTTTTATAATTACGCGGTAAATAATTTATTTACGATTGATAAAAATAACTTGTAGGTAAAAAAATTTTAAAAATATTTATTTATGTGAAAAAAACTTTTTTATTAGTTGTAAAAAAAATTTACATGTAAAAAATATTTTTATTTTACTTATTTCAAATAATTTTAAAATATATTATTTATTAAATTAAGTAATCTGCTATTTACTATATATATATATATATTTTTTTTTTTTTTTAAATCTGACACGTAAAGAAGACATAAAGAAGAGATTAGCAGCGAAAGTTCCAGTTCTAGACGCTACGTTTCAAAAAAAAAAAAGAAAAAAAAAGCATCAAAACGCTGTCGTTTTAGGCCCTTAAAATCAGGGCCTCCTTTTCCGAAGACAAAATTGAACGGTGGAAAACACAACTGGCTCTGCTCTCTCTCTCTCTCTCCTCTTGTAAAGTCGATCGTCCCGTCCACAATCTCGGTGCCCGTTGGATTATTTGAAAAAACAACCGGTAAGTTTCCCTCTATTCCTTTCCTTCTTCATGGGTTTTTATTCTTTGGCTTTTTTATCCATGTTCTGAAACCCTTTCAAGTCTGTTCTCTCTTTCTTCTTTTCAATTTGGAAAATTTTCCATCTGGGTAAGTTCATTATTTTCTTAGGCGCCTTGAAATTAATATGTGACATTCTCCAATTGGGTAGGGGTGAAATTAATCAATTTGATGTTTTGATATCGTTTTGTTTAGAAGTAGGAATTCTTCTTCACCACTCTGTGACCCCCACAAGGAAAAACAATGAATCTTTATGCGGCTTTTTTGATGTATTGACCGAGAGAGAGAGACGTTACTGTTATCAAAGTCTTGTCTTGTGCTTTAGAAGGTAGGAGTGGAACATTTTTGTGCTAAAATAAGATTGCCCATGTCCCAATTTTGTTGAAATTCATGCACGGTTTGTAATGGAATAGAGTTTGTTGAGAAATTTAATGTCCACCTTGCTTACTCTACCTTATTAGTTGGTTGTTAAAATCTCGATGATAAAAGCGCGTGAAGACCCTTTGCAGTTTAGTGAGAGTTAATTTCTAATTTTACATGTTAGATCACGATTCTTAAGAAGGAAATAATGCCTTTTTCTGTTGAGATTTTAATTGTCAGAAGGACGAAAAGACTAATTTGGGATAATCTGAGACGTTTTAAAAGTTTGACATTAAAATGTGATTTGACCCCTAGTTCGAGACGAAAATGAGTTTTAACTCTATAGAAAGTTAGGGCTTCTCTACCGGTAGGATTAGTTTCTAACTGTTGGATCTGGTCAAAATTACATATGATTGAAAAAGTATGCAAAACAAACAGTTTATGTTACAAATCCAATAGCTGGAAATAAGATACTACTGGTAGTTCTTTTTTTATGGACCTACTAGAGAAACTCCCTAGAAAGAGTTAGGTATAATCTCAAGCGCATTTTTTTTTTAAAGCTTTAACTACTAGAATGATGAATAAATGACCTTAAGAGTGATATGAAGTCGATGACCATGTCTAGATAGGCTTTTCTTCCCTAGTATCGGAATCTTGAAGCCTTAATTTGTTAGTAGTTAAACTACAATCTGTTCCCCCTTTTTTTGTCTTATTTTTATGTTGCTTATTTTCTTTGAGCAAGTCATTTGCTAGGGCTTACAGTCTTTCTTTTTTTAAGGGTACTTGCAGTCTATTTACAGTTCAAGTAAACACATTTTAAGACCTTGTACGAAGAAAAAAGAAAAAGAGTTTTCTGATAATGTGTTTTTTTTGTTATGTTTGATAGGTTTACTTGAAATATGGCGGCACTGAATACATCTCTAGGAGGCAGTGCTTTTGACATGGCTATGGAGGATAGAGCAAGTGCTCAACCTGCGTATGGACGACAGCCGATTGGGCCAGAAGCGAAGAGGGCTGCTGTACATGAGGAGATGAAGAGAATGACTAAACTTCCTGCAACCAGCAGCTATGCTTCTCACCGCCTGCGGGTTCTCAATAAAATTCTGCAACTTTTGTCTCTTCAGGTACACAAAAGTATATGTGCCATTATCTGTCTCAAAAATTGTATTTGACTTGTGTCTATATAGGTACTTTGTGTTTGACTGTTTTTGGGTTTGCAGTCAAATTTTTGTTACTTCTTATCATAGTATCTGTAAAAAGGGAGTGTCGCTTTTGACAAGATGTCGGTCTATATGATTCTTATACCAGTTGATAAGACAAATGGATGTTAATTTAGCATTTGGCAAGTATCATCTTTCTAATGTGATTGTTTCTTTTATGCCAGAGAAGTGCATCACAGGATGTGGAGTTGGAACTGCTTTTCTCTGGGCTGTCCCTGTGAGCCAACCTTCTAGGCTTGGTCAGTTCTAGTTGAAGTTATATTGTAGATGAAGATCTTATGCTTTGATCTTTGCTTGCTTTATTTTCGACAATATTTTCTTATTGCCAATTTATAACTTGTATATTTCATAGTCTATTAGAAGATGTTGAATTGTCGATAACCAATGTTGTCTTCTTGTAGTCTAACACATCTAGCACATACTACAGCTTTATGCATATTATGGGGGAAAAGGAAGAAGTAAGAGACATATGACATTTTCGAACTAGTAAAGTGGCCTTTTCTCTATCAGAATCTAGGCTTCAGCAATGCCTGCACTTACCTTCTTTCTCAGACAATCATTAAGGCTTCGTTTCGTACTAGGGAAAGAGAATAGGAAGGAACAAACGGTATATCAGCTAGGTGAGGAGAAT